TGCTGCTGCTGCTGCTGCTGCTGCTGCGCATACACCGCATGGAGTTTTCATGCTTGCGTCGGTGCGCAGCAGCAGCAGCACGACCAACAGTAGCAGCACTAGTCGCAGCACAAGAGAAAATGGAGGGTAGCTCCGATCGCGCCGGTGTGCGTGCTGCTGCTGCTGCTGCTGTCCTTGCTGTTGCTGCTGCACCAGCAGCGCGGGAGTTTGGATGTCTGGGCCTTCCACTACTGCGGCGTACGCTCAGCTGATGTTTCAGCTGCTGCTGCAGGCCTCGCTGCTGCTGCTGCTGCTGCAGTTGCTGCTGCTGCTGCTGCTAGAGCCAGCAGACCGCTCCAGTGATGTGGGTGCAAGCGTTGGGGCGCCGCTGCAGGCGTTTGACACAGCAGAGGGAAGACAAGAAAAGCTGTTTGTAGCTGTTGCTGCAGCAACAGCAGCAACAGCAGCAGCAGCAGCAGCAGCTCAAGGAAGAAGGGGGAACTGTTTTGTCTGGGTGTGGAGGCCACCAACATAAGGAATGATGGATACGAACGCAGACAGAGAAAGACAGACAGAGACAAAGACAGAGAAATATGGACAAAGACAGAGACAGATATAAACAAAGACAGAGACAGATATAGATAGAGACGAAGACAGAGACAGATATAGACAAGGACAGATGTAGACAGAGACAGATAGAGACAGAGACAGGCAAAAAACGAGAAAGACGAACAGATAACAAGGGATAAAGCACGAGAGACAAAGAGAGACAGACAAAGAAAGAAAGACAAAGACAGGCAGACGAGGGCACATAGAGCAGTACAGAGAAAGAGAGAAAGAGAGAGACAGAGACTGAGAGATAGAGAGAGCGAGACAGAGAGAGATAAAGAAAGGAAGAGAAAGAAAGACACAGAGTGAGAGAAGAAGAGACAAGGATAGACAGAGAGATAGGCAAAGAGAGAAACAAAGAAAGACGAAGAGAGCAGAATGAGAAAAGCAAAAAGGGAAAAATATAAAAAGTAAGATAGAAGACAGAGACAGACAAAGCTAGATGAAGAGAAAGATATATAGATACAGAGGGAGACAAAGAAATATAAAAGATACAGACAAAGAAATACAGAGACAAAGAAAGACAGAAGGGGAGATAGACAAAGCTAAAGAGTTAGATGCAGTATAGAGACAGACAAAGAGAAACAGAAAAAGATAATAGATAGAAAGAAACAAAAGACAGAGAGAATAGAGGCAAAGGTAGACAGAGAGAAACAATAGAGGGAGAAATATAAGAGCAACAAAGAGACAGAGATAATACAGAACAGAGACAAAAGAGAGACAAATACAGAGACAATAAGGAGACAGAGACGAAGGAGAGATATAGATAAAGGTAATATAAACAGAGACAGAAAAGAGACAAAGACAGAAACAAAGCAAACGGAGACAGAGGAGAGACAAAGACAGAGACAGAAGGACAAACAAGAGAACAGAATCAACAATAAACGACATTTCTATTTTTATTTATTTATTTATTTATTTATTTTTTCTTTTTTTGTTTTTTTCTCTCGTCATTTGTTTCTTGGTGTGCGTGTTTGTGTTTTGTTTGTTTGTGTAGTTGGTTGTTTGTTTGTTTAGTAGTTTTCTTCTTTGTTTGTTTTTTCTTGTCTGGTGAGGCTGTGTGTGCATGCATCTTCAGGTGTATGTACACCTCGTCCAGGTGTACATACACCTCAGCTTTTCTCTCTTTCTTTTTCTTTTTTTGTCGTTTCATCTTTTCTGTTATTTTGCCAAGGCCTTGACCTCGCTTTATATATTATGTGCCAGTGCTATATATATATATATATATATATATANTATATATATATATATATATATATATATATATATATATATATATATATATATATATATATATACGTATATACCTACATTTATATCTACATCTATAGCTATACCTACACCTATATCTACATGTGTATCTATGTCTATATATCTATATCTGCATCTGCATCTATATTTATATATCTAATTTGTACATCTATATATATATATATAATATAAACATATATATATATATATAATATATAATATATATATATATATATATATATATATATATATATATATATATATATATA